TTTAAGAGTATTTTTGCTTCACTGTATTTTTTTTCTTTTACTTGAGTAATTGTAAAGTATCTCTACTCCTACTTCAGAAAAATGTCTGTAACTTCTCTGAATGAAAAACAATCATGTTTTGACCAAAAGTTCACCCAACACAGACACACACCTGCAGTTTTTTATAAGAAACTGAAAAAACCCCGCCTTACTTACAATATTAGAATTTAAGCAAAGTGTCTGAACTATGTTTCATTAAGCAGTTAAAAAAAAGGACCTCGCTGCAGCAGAAAGGGGCGGGGACGGACCACTGTTAGCCTCATACCTTATTTGGAAATGGGACCATTGCACTCCGGAAGTGAAGGGGGCGCTATTTTCTGTATTATCCGTTGCCTCCCGTTATTATTTTCTTTTGAAATATGTGATATATTTTCACCTTTAGGAAGGATTTTCACTCTCAGAATGTATTTGAATTCAATCTTTTATTTACTTCAGCGCAGCTCACAGTTTTTTAACAAATTCAGTAGTTTTCCGTGTACTTCTAAATCTGCTCCTTAGTCGCATCTTTTCGGGGTCTACTGCTGCCTCTAGTGGCGTGGGGGTGGTAACACAACTTAATCTAATTACATTACTAAACCAGAATACCACAAAGTCTATTATTATGCAATGGTCCCATTTCCAAATAAGGTATGTCTATGGGTATGAGCCTGACAGTGGTCCGTTCCCGCCCCTTTCTGTTTGCTGCAGCGAGGTGTACTTGAAAAAAAGGAGGCATGTTTGCCCCGGAAGTGGTAGATGAAGTTTCTATTTTGATCCGGGTTGATTTCCGGTCAAAGACGAGCAGGATGGCGACTCACATGTCGAGGTGCAGGACTTGGTGTCGGCTTCAGAGGTAACCGGTCCACACATTCTCACAGTTGACGCTTGGTGAGGCATTTAGGCAAAGAGGTGTACAAATGTCAGCCGTGCACGCGCGTCACTGTCACGTGCAGATGTTAAACGGTTGTCCGCCATGGCTCCTAGAGATTAGCCTGCAGTTAGCATCGAGCGTTAGCCTTCTCTTACATCAGTTTGTTTACGTCAGAAGGCAACAGTATCAATACTTTACAGTGATTTCTAAAGCCTATAAGGATATCTATTAGTTTTATGTGATATTAGACTTTCTTTTTCAACAGCTGCATGTTTATGTAATGTTTTGTTCCTGAGTTTGATCTGCAGAAGCTGCCCTATGATTTGGATGTTCTCACTAAATAAATCCTTTTATTTTTTATTATCTGTAGAGAGATAGACATGTTTTCTTGTTACCGAAAACGGCAAAACATCTGAGAAGTGAATGGGAGCAATTGTTAGCCCAGTGCTTTCATCAGTTCCTCGTTTCCAGAGTTCATTTATAATCTGGAAAAGGATGGAATTTGAGTTTAACACCTGGAAGAATATATTATCCTTTAAGGCAGCTGCAGGAAAATCTGTCGGTCAGAACAGTGAGTGGAGTTAACAAATGACAGAGGATGATAAGTAGCATTACGAAGGCTTTATAAAGATGAATAGGGGTCATTCTTTTTATCCCGATTCCTATTTTAAATTTATCATCTTCCAAACTGAATTGTTTACATGCGTTTGTACTAAATAATGTCCAAATTGAACCATTCTTTCTGGATTTCTAATTTGTTTGACTAAACAACAACTAACTCTGAGTGTCTTTAAGTCTGTAATAATACAGATTGGCTTTATATTTACAAAATTTGTAAGACTAGATTCTCTGCTGTCATTAGGGTGTTCCAGCTAGACGGAATAATCTTCTAGTTTATAATTTCTTCAGCTGTTTTTGCCCAAGATATTTCCACGCTAAAACTAATTGCATTTCTTTTTTTAAAATTATATTAACCAAAAAAATAACTTGTACAGCTGGTGCTAATTTTGAAAGACTCCAAAGATGTTTCCAAACTCTAAACCTCCCACTATCTCTGACTTTTTCTACATTATTGTTGTTAAAGGTTTGGAATTGCAGCCTACAGAAAGTACAGCACAGGTGGAAGATATCCGAATCTCTCCCTCTCTACGCCGCTGCCTGGCATCCCAAAGCCAGTGTTCGCATCCGTGGACGGGCAGGAAAAATACGAGACCAAGATCACAACTTTAGAAAACGGCCTCAGAGTTGCTTCTCAAAACAAGTTTGGTCAATTCTGCACAGTTGGAAGTAAGTTGCATTTTCTAAATCTGTACGTCAAACATAGAGACTTTTCTCCTCTCTGTAGTAGCTTTTCCATTAACCACAAAACGGTGCTGATTAAAAGTTACAAAATCGACATCTACATTTCCCCCAAAACGCCGCTTACGTAACCGCTCCCAGGTAAAAGGGTTTGTCGCTCCATCGCCTGAATAAGACGTCTCCTCTGTTTGCTGAATTATGAATATGATCCCATGTAACTGTTTTCATTCATTGCTGTCATGATTTTTAATGATTTAATTTGTGAACAAGCTTATTCATATGTGATTGTATTTTAATTGTGAAATTGTGTTTTTTGTGACATTACCTGAATTCAGACAAAGATTTGTGCACATTTGTGTTGCACCACAAATCTGGAACAAACTTCCAGAAAACTACAAAACAGTTGAAACACAGAGCTACTTTAAATCTAGACTAAAAAGCCACATGTTTAGAATTGCATTTGATGTATAAATACACCAACAAATTTGATGTATTTATGATTTTTAAAAATGTTTTTATGAAAGACTCCAAAGAGTCACTTTGAACTGCTTTGCTAATGAAACGTGCTACACAAATAGACTTGATTGATTGATTAATGGAAGTGAAGCTAGTGTCTATTTGATAAATATTTTTTATTCTGACATTTCTTTTTTTATTTTTAGTTTTAATAAATTCTGGATCGAGACATGAAGCAAAATATCCAAGTGGAATTGGGCACTTCTTAGAAAAACTTGCCTTTTCTGTAAGTAAACAAAAATAAAACAAACCAGAAAAGTTAAATCATTCTCAGGCTGATAATAATGTTTGTCTTTTTTTGTTTTTTTAGTCCACAGCTCAGTATGGCAGTAAAGATGAAATCCTTCTCACACTGGAAAAACACGGGGGCATTTGTGACTGCCAAACATCGAGGTATTTAATTTTGCTCATTTTTGTTATTGTTCACAACTTTTATGGACTATTGTTCACGGCAACAGTCCATAAAAGAAAATACCAGGAAGGCAATAAGGATAAAATCACGGACTTTCTGCTTCCATCCTTATCCACAACCATGAATGGCTAAAAATATAATTATCTTATTAAATATTTGAAAAAACAGCCAAAACACTGAATTCCTTTAAATCTAGACTAAAAACCCACCTGTTTTCAGTCTAGAGTTTTGTTTAGAGTTGCTTTTTTACCACAATAAACAAAACACTAACCAACATTTTAATGTTTAAATGACGGCACTTGGATAAATTAAATATTACAATTTTTGATGATGTGAAGCACTTTGAACTGCCTTGTTGCTGAAATTTGCTATACAAGTAAAACTCAATGGATTGATTTTATATTATTTTCAATCTTGTCATTACTCAGAGACACTACCATGTACGCCGTATCTGCAGAGGTCAAAGGTCTGGACACTGTGGTCAGTCTGCTGTCTGACGCCGTTCTTCAGCCTCGCCTGCTCGGTACGTTCGTTTTTATCCACAGAGGAGAACCGTTGCTTTTAAATAAACAGTTATGGTTTGTTTCCGTGCAGACGAAGAGGTTGAGATGATCAGAATGGCCGTTCGCTTTGAGTTGGAAGATTTGAACATGAGGCCGGACCCCGAGCCGCTGCTGACGGAGATGATCCATGCTGTGAGTGAGAACTCTGTGCCTTTATTGATCTGTTTAGTAAGAGTAGCTAGCTACTTTTGCTAGCCAGCTAAATGGCTAGCTACTCTTGCTAGATTAAGCTAACTGGGAAGAGTAGCTAGATTCTTCACGTCCCTTATTGTTAAGTGCAAATTTATCTTCATTTGCCTTAACGATGTCCCTTGTAGCTTTTGGCTCACTTCTGTTGCCATTCCATACGATTTATTTACTCATGATTTTCATTTGTAAGTTCTTGTTGAGATGCAGGTCTTAAATTATACTATTAATGGTCTTAAAAACTCTTAATTTGAATTGGTGAAACCTGCAGGAACCCTGGTAAGGCTCCTGCTGTCTGTCTCATAATAAAGGGAAACTAATTTAGCCTTTGTTCGTTTCCAGGCTGCGTATCGCGGGAACACCGTCGGCCTTCCTCGATTCTGTCCTGCAGAGAACGTGGACAAGATAGACAAGGCGGTTCTTCACAGCTATCTGCGTAACTACTACTGCCCGGAGCGCATGGTGCTGGCCGGCGTGGGCATCGAGCACGAGCAGCTAGTTGACTGCGCCCGAAAGTATCTGCTGGATGTGAAGCCGGTGTGGGGGGCGAGTTCAGCCACCGATGTGGATCTCTCTGTAGCGCAGTACACAGGCGGCATCGTTAAGGTAAACACCCAAATATATAACTTAAAGGGGACCCATTATGTAAAATCAATTTGTTGAGCTTTACATCTTATGATGTTATACTTCATTTTTCATTTTTAAACAAACCAGTGTTGCTTTGATTCTTTCATGAATGTTTGAGAAATCCTTTACTCTCCATGGCAACCGTTCAGCTGTGCAATAACGCCTTTATTTGTTGTTCTGTTAATTATTTTTGGATATTTAAAATATCTTCCAGTTCCAGAGTTAGATGTTCATTGGAATTTAAGTTTAGTGATCTTTGAACATTTGTTCTTGCATCATTATGCCATTTCCATTATAATACTCGGGTTGTTAAAGGCGCGTGGCCAGCAGCAGCTTATTTGGATTTAAAGTGACAAGAGGCTCTAAAACAACTCATGACACTAAAATCTATTTTTCTAAGAATGATTTGGTGCAAAAATGTAATGAACATGCTTTGAGCATCTAATAGGTCACCTTGAATCTCTTGTTTTGTGGTGGATGATGATTTTCCTTTCTAATATGTCAGATGGAGAAGGACATGTCCGATGTGAGTCTCGGTCCGACGCCGATCCCAGAACTCACCCACATCATGATCGGCTTGGAGAGCTGCTCCTTCCTGGTTGGTGTTCGCAGCACATTCATGAATCTCAGCCTTCTGGTTCATGAAGACTAAAATAATTCCCTCCACAGGAGGAGGATTTCATCCCGTTCGCTGTGTTGAACATGATGATGGGAGGAGGCGGCTCTTTCTCAGCAGGAGGGCCTGGGAAAGGCATGTTCACTCGTTTGTATCTCAACGTTCTCAACAGGTGAGAAACTCAAACACTCAGGCTAAAATCCTCGGCTTTTTTGTTACATTTTAACCTAGTTGTCTTCTGCAGGCATCACTGGATGTACAACGCCACTTCCTACCATCACAGCTACGAGGACAGCGGGCTGCTCTGCATCCATGCGAGCGCAGATCCCAGACAGGTTTGTATCGCAGCTCCAGGTTTAAAAAAACAAACAAAAAAAACTCCAGTATAGGGTTCGTACGGGTGCTTGAAATCTTTGAAGTAAAATAAAAAATAAGTTCATACTTCTTCCCACTCCTTTGAATGTGTAAATATACTTTAGTACTGTTTTTCTTTTGCTTTAAATTAATTTTCTTTGTGTAACTTTGTTCTTTTGTTGCACTTTGTTCAATAAAGCCAAACTCAAAATGCTTGAAATTTAATTTTAAGGTTTGGAAATGGTTTGATTTCTGTGCTTCATATTCAAACTGTGCAGTTTGGTAATAAGGTATAATCTAACGTTTGATTAAAAGCCTAAACGTTTATTATTTTATTAAACTGAAATTATTTATAGTTGAAGCCAGATGTTTTCCTGTCCCTAATAAAAACTTTTTTTGCTCTCTCTGAAATTAAATGAGAACAAACTTTTCTTTTATTAAGTTAGTTTGAATATTCAAAAATATTTATAGTTGCTAAATGCCAGAAAATTTAGTAAATAAACATTTTATTGCCTAAAATTTAACGATAGCAGTAGCTTAGTGAACGCTTGATCATTTGTAGCAAAGCTGAAAAATCCTTCTACTGTCAGCAAGTTTCTGCTATTTTTTTTTTATTAACCGATTAATAATTGATAGATGGGAATCTTTCAGTGTCTCTCAATTTTAGGGTAACAATTTGATTCAGAATATTTTTCTCTATTCAAATGGTTTACAGATTCTTATTAAATTGTTACTGGCAAAAAAGAAAAGACAAACAGAATATTTATTTAACATATCAATTTCCATCATCTTCTAGTTAAACAATAATATGTTTGTGCATTTGACTCTGCCACTTAAATGACCAGTATTAGGTTAGTTTAACTGCCTTGGCTGTTCAAATTATTCATAATGGCATACAAAGAGTTAAATAGACCAAAATCACATTTGAGATTTTCTATACATTTTTTTCTGCACCTAATATTTAAATAATCAAAGGTCTTTAATCGGAGAGTTTTTATTTATTTATTTATTTATTTTACATATTTTGGCTAGAACATATTTAGATAAAAAAAACTTCTTTTTTTTATCTTAAATGCAACATTTATATATATTTTGTTCAGTTTTGGCATAATATCTTCTGAATGTGTTGTTCATTTAGCAGTCAACCATTTTACAGTCTGTATGACAAATTACTAAATTAGTTAATTTAGTAACCAGTTAATCGTTTCAGCCCTACTGACTAGAGGGTTTAATGTTGCTGAATGTTGCTCTCCAGGTGAGGGAAATGGTGGAAATTATAACCAGAGAGTTCATCCAGATGGGCGGCAGCGCAGGAGAGGTAAGAATCCAGACAAACTGGCCTCCATTTGACAGTAAGTGGAAAAACAGAGCCTTCACTTTTCACCCAGATGGAGTTGGAGCGAGCCAAGACTCAGCTAAAGTCCATGTTGATGATGAATCTGGAGTCCCGGCCTGTTATCTTTGAAGATGTCGGCCGCCAGGTTCTGTCCACAGGAAAGAGAAAACTGCCTCACGAGCTCTGTGACCTCATAAGTAAGTTGTTTATTTCTTTTAGCAAATGCACACAAGTATTCCTTCCCTTGGATTAGCGTTTATCGTATCGTTCATTGTAAAAATTTCTTAAGAATTTTGATTTTAACAAAAAACATCCGCTCTTTGTTCAACAAATAAGAAACAATAAGAAAACAAATGAATTAAGAGACTAATATTTCCATTTCAGGTTGTATATAATACAATGTTGAGTTAGTGCTGGCCAAATTCAGAATATCGTGATAAAATTCTATGTCCATATCACCCAGCCTTCCTCCTTCATAACTGCTACTTAAATTAATTTGCAGGCAGCGTGACAGCCAGCGACATAAAGAGAGTGACCACCAAGATGCTGCGGAGTAAACCTGCAGTGGCGGCTCTGGGAGATCTGACGGAGCTACCGACATACGAACACATCCAGGCAGCGCTGTCCAGCAAAGATGGCCGTCTGCCTCGCATCTACCGCCTCTTTCGATAAGACGCCTGTTACGACGCCCCCATGGTCTAGGGACTCTGGGGATGTAACATAAAGATATGTCCAGAGAAAACAAATGGAATGTAAAATGATTTATTACGAAAGAAGGTTTCGCAAAACCAAAACACAATACAATTAAAACAAAAGAAAAGGACTAACAAATTCAAGAACGTTAAGTGCAAATTAAATTACAAGATGTTCAAACAAGTCAATCTGAAGTAAAACCAAATAACCCAAAAGGGAAAAAAAACACACGAAGGGAGCACCAACCCTCCCAAACAAGCTTCAATTTTAAGTAGAAGCAATCAAGATCAGAGTCGAGCTAAACAGAACCAAAATGGGTCAGCGGAACAAAGTGTCTGAAAGCTGCCCAAAACAATCAGTTACAAGCAAGTTTGCAGGCAAACAAATGTGAGGAACAGCTGAACAAAGCCTCTTGCTACAAGCCATCTCACTGGAGAAATGGTTTCAGGGGCCTTTTATATGGTGCAGGTGGGCCTCATCAGTGTCTGATTGGCTTGCAATCCCTCTGCTGATCCAATAGGGTCGCTGCTCTCCTGCAGCCAATCAGGAAGGTGTTCTCACATCTGAACCTGCACAACAAAAAGAAGCCTGCACAGCCTTAAGAGGCCAGGAGCTGTAACACCCCTCACCCCCCCACACCTTAAATTACAAAACCAGGTTTTGTAAATACTGAGTGTCACACAAAACAAAAGACACATACTCACATCCTGGAAAGGCCATCTGGAAAGGAACATTTTCTGTTCCTTTCTTATATTGGATGTTCAGATTGTATTCTTGCAAAAGTAATGCCCGCAGCATAAGGCGCTGATTGTGGTTGTACATGCGTGAAAGAAATACTAGTGGATTATGATCAGTGAAGACATCAACCGGCAAACTACTGGAACCAAGGTAAACATGGAAGTGCTGAAGAGCCAACAACAGAGCCAAGGTTTCTTTTTCAATGGTGGAATAGCCGCTGCTGCGGCTGTAATTAACCCTGACGGGATGATTGCTCTATCGTTTCCTCTCAAACACAGAACTCGGCACCGCTCAGTCTGGGAGAGGACCGGACGTTTTTAAAGAAACTTTTTCTGCTGCGCTCAGCTGGGGAATTTGTATTTATTATCCATGTGGACAGGAAGCCACAAATTACCAGGAGTTTGCTTTTTAAGGGACGGTTTTTCCTCCAAAAAACAAAAATAATTATGCTTCCTTAGGTGGCCATCTTTAAAAGAAGCAAACATTCTTTCTGTAGACTAGATAGATATTACATGCATTTTATCCCAGGAAATTACAGTTGTTTGTAATAAAGATTTGGAGAATGAGGTTGTAAGATAAGATGGACTTTAGACAAAATTGGGTAAATTTTTACTGTCCAGTAAAGTGATTCAAAAGAACCTCAGCTAAAACATTTCTGTATTGAAGATAAGTAAAGAAGTTAAAGGTCAAACTTCATCTATTTACCATATTAACATTATCTCCACATCTATGCACATTTGAAACACCAACATGAAAACGTTTAGCGTAGGTGGGTTTAAGTGTTACTGCTCATGTAGTTTTAATAAAATGTGTTTCAGTCCAAAACATATTACATTTTTTTCACATTTCTGGAATGTGAAAAAAATGCTAATTATTGGAAAGTCTATTTTTGAAAAATATCCTGAAAATTTTACATATGTAAACTTCTCTGTCTGAATAAGTAAAAAAAAAAAAAAAGTTCCTGATTCCATCTGTTATCTATTAAACAGACACAAACGCCTAATCAGTCTGCATCGATTGATCCGCCGCAGAACTCCTGTTATACTTTTCTGTTAACCAACAAATTAGAAAACAATGAAACACTAGTTGCTATGGTAACCACTATGGAGGTTTAGGCAAACAGGAATGAAGACACAAATTTGAGCCTCAAATAAATAATGTGCAAAAAATTATAGCTTATACCATAATTCAGTTTTTTATGATTTTGGGATCACAGAAATTCATGGATAATCCTGCATTTTTGTTTTTGCAATAATGCATAATTTGCAATAATAAAATACTTTAAATGAACATAATATCCATATTTAAAGAAAATAGGGATGCACCATAATCTACGTTTCCATTACAAATGTGCACAAAATGTCAATATTCTGCTAGACGAAAAAAACATAATTTTGTGATTGCCATGTTTCCACTACATAAGAAATGTGATTAAAAAGCACACAAGCTCAGTCATTAAAGATAAATGGAAATAAGGAGACAGAAACTTTTCAGCAATATATGAGCTTGCATCCTTAAATGTTGATTTCATAGATTTATATATGTGTGTCCTACACACCTCTAAGAATTTAGTCTGTTATAAAACTACTGATCTAACTACAATTGACTAATTCATACATAAACATGACTTTCTCTAACAACCACACAGTTTAACTACATTTTGAGAGACATTTCTGAGGGTCTGGCTGACCATTTGCCTGTGAAAATACAGGAAAAGCGCAGCAGCAATGAACGTAGCGTTTGTCATCCAGGTCTAACGTGAAGAGCGTAGCGCAGAGGTGTCCAAAGTCGGTCCTGGAGGCCGGCATCCTGCATGTTTTAGTTCTCTCCCTGGTTTTACACACCTGCATCAAATGATGGCTCATCAGAGGCCTAAGGAGAACATTGACTTGCTGAGGAGGTTGTTACAACCACTAGGGAGAGAACTAAAACATGCAGGATGCCGGCCCTCCAGGACCAACTTTGAACACCCCTGGCGTAGCGCCTCGCCTGTTCCACTCTGGCGTTACTCTCGTCCTCAGAGGTTCCGCAGGCATGCTGGTCGCATTAATCAATCCTTTCCTCTTCTAAACCAGTCCTTTTACCCGGGGAGCTCATGGCGCCCACCATAAGGTGGCGCCCGTATCAGAAACCGCCACTGAATGCAACACACTTCCATTTCACTCATGGTGCCACACAGGATACAAAAACTCTCTGGGAAATAGTTCCCACTCCTGACTTCTTCTTCTTTCAGCTTTTTTAAGTGCTAACCTTAAAACTCTAGTTTATTCAATTCTTGAAGGTTTGATAAAATTAATAAAAAGTTAACATTATTACTGTAAGCTTATCTTTCATAAACTCACACATTTAGGTTCGAAATCTACAATTTATTTTACATAAAGTGTAGAAGGTAGCAGAACTAAATGCAGCTCACATATGACTTTTCAATAGAGAAACTCTTGTACTGTGTCGCTTCATTAAACTAAAACTAATAACAAAAAAGTAAAAATTACTCCAAATAAAAATGATAAATTCTTATGAAACGTCCAAAAATTACCTCTGACTTTACTGGTTCAGCAGACATTCATTGACTCTGTCTACTACTGATGTTGCTGTTTCCTTTAATTTTCTTCACATCTCTGCGACAAACTGCAAACATTTAACAATATTTCCATTCTTGCTGCTGATGTAACATTTCACCAACCATATCTGCTGTTCTTCATTAAAATTACCCTCCCTGCATAGATTATAAATTGGCACAATTGTACTTTCATTTCCATTTGATTATGCTGAACACACAGCTAATTTACATTTGCAAGGACTTCATCTGGCAGTAGTAGCACGTTGTCTGCAGCCATGTAAGTGAGAAAACCAGAAGCTACTGCTCTGACTGACAGCTCTGCTTGTATTTTCCCCGCAATATTTTAGCGTCAAAACATCCTAAATGTGTAATATTAAAATGTCAACATTTCAACTTATTCTGCTAGCATGCATAATGACACCAATTGTCAGCAAATCTGGGAATCTCATCACTAAAAACCAAAAGTACAATATAAACATTGGCTGAACTCTTGGAAAAGAAAGAAAAATGGCCAGGAAAGCAGTTCTCTAACTAAGATGGTATTTTATGAAGCTTTAATTTTATTAAATTTAAATGATCTCACATTTGGAAACTGATCCACATTCCCGTCAGATGGATTGAGAGTGCTGTGACTTTAACCTCCATTAGCCTACATTTATGTGAACACAGTCCAAGCATCAATTATTGATGGATTAACAAAGATCACTCTACTCTCCTGATTTCTAATCAATAATTAGAACCTATGTAGTGTTTATTAATGCAATATTGTGCTGCGGATGGTTCTTATTTTGACTAAAACAAATATTCATAAGAATAAGTTGTGAAAAACATTCAAGAAAACAATCATTCAAGGCTAAAAACCTCTTTAACGACATGCTAACCGGTGTAAATGATCTGCTGTGAGCCTTCGTAGTCAAACAAATAAAAACACCCACAAGCTCTTAGCATTGTGTCAGTACAAGCAGCCGCTGGCTCTACAGGAAACCCACGCAGCAATTCACTCATGCATTTAGCTTAGCAATCGAGAATAACATTAGTTCTGTACTGATAATGTTTTCTTTTACCGGGTCAAGTATGTCCAGACAGCATTCCCATTTTGTTCCCTGAAAATATTTCTGTTAACGGCGGAAAAGGTTTGCAGAAATTGGAAAGGTTTCAGACCAATGCCACTTGGATTGATATGGATTGACTGCAACATTAACTGGTTTTGTGTTAGAATAAACATGCAGCAGTAGAAAAACAGATTTTTTTTTAAATCACAGACGATTGTAAATTTTTACGATCTTTTGTACAGTGATAAAATCGATTTGAAGAACCTGATATTCTTATGTTAATGGAGCACAGCACCGTCATGTATTTTACAACACCGCCGTAATCATTCTTATTCTTCTTA